TTGGTGCGGGGGGGTGGGGGCCCGGGGTAGCCGCTCGTCCCAGTGTTACCGCCAGTGGTTTCCTGGTCCCTGTATCAACTTGATTTCCCCTTTCTTGGAGAAAGGGAATGTTGGAAATATTCATAGTAAGAAAAAGAAAAAAAAGCAACTGTACCTTTAAGCTTTGGGACATCCTGGTAGTGAAACTGATTTGGCCAAATCCGAAGTCATTCTAGGGTCTGAAGTGTACCCTGGCTGGAGTTGCCAGGCGACCAAGGCCTGGGGACCTTTCTGGGACCGGAACCCCCCCCAGGTTTTGATCCTAGGCCTGTCCATGCCAAGTGGCTTTCTGCCATGTCGCCGCTTGCAGCTGAGTCAGGTTTCTGTAACTTGGTGCTGTGCGTGAGGAAGTTTGACGTGGCACACTAGGTCGCCGGAGGAAGCACGGTCCGCCCTGGACCAGTGCACTGGGACCCGGCGGACTCCGGCTGTCTGGGGCGAAGATCTCTGCCTTTCTTTTCCGTCACTCAGCAGCAGGCTGCCCGGAGGTGTGTGCCGCTCACTTCCCCGACGTGCAGGGTGTGCTTGACCGAAGCTCAGGCTGCCACGTCTCTCTCTGCTAAGTGGGTGGAGGGAAAGTGTTGTCAGCAACAAAGTGGACCCGAAAGCCTTTGCCTGCCTCTTTCTTCTTTGTCGTTCCCTCTGCCAGGGAGAAGAAAGTGATGTCATCATATTTTTATCTGGTTGCTTTTCATTTAGGAAACTTATGGTTACTATGAAAATCAGTCACAGATTTTAAGCTTGCCTTTTTAAAATTTGAAATGCCGTTTTCTGAATTTAATAGGCTCTTTCAAGGCTTAGCAGGTTATCACCAATCTTTTACCTTAGAAAACAGTAACTAAAAAATCAAAAGGATGATACCTATGCTAGATGAAGAAATTAGAGAGAAATTGTAGAATCAGTGGTTTGCATCTGAGAAATCTCTTGGAGGCTTCATTTTTTAAATAGAGGCCCAGAGAGGGTTTTCAGCCAGTTCCATGTCACACAGCTAGTACTGGCAGCCATGGAATTGAAACCCACTTCTCTTGCCAGGATTCAGGTATCCTCTGTCTTGATAAAAAATGTTTCTTGAAAATATTCAGTCAGTCCTATGAAATGTCTCTTGTGAAAAACCTGGAAAAAAAAGAGAAATGTAAAGCAAGTTGATGTTTGGGTTCTGAGTAAAATCAAGATGGGTTTGTTAGGTTTGTGAACATGTGTACCTATACACATATTAAATTATACTTTTTCTCCCTTGCTGTAATTGTCTTATTCTTTTTAAAAAATAGATAATAGAGCTTTATCGTGATAATAGAAGAAGACAGTTAATCTTTTCATCTCATTTGGGTAACACAGGATTTAGTACAGGGTGTGTCAGCTTCAACACTATTAACATTTTGGGTCAGATAATTTATTTAAAAATTTATTGTAATTTAAATTTGCATATAATTGTACATCTTTATGCTTGTCAGTATAGTTTTTAAAAGCATGCATACAAGGTGTAATAATCAAATCAAGGATATAAACATATTCACCATCTTCAACATTTAACATTACATTAAGTTGTGTACATTCAATATTCATTCTATTAGTTTTTTAATATATATTGTCATTTTGTTTTTACCTTGCTGTGGTATGCCATTCCATAACTATTCTACTTGTTTACATGCATTCTTGTGTCTGTTAGTCGTTTTCTCCCAGCAGCCTCCCTCAAATACAAATCAAAACCACAATTAGGTCTCGTCTAATCTCAGTCAGAATGGCCATGATAAAAACAAAGAATAATAGGTGCTGATGAGGTTGTAGAGAAGGGGGAACCCTGTGTGCCACTGCTGGGGATGCCAACTAGTATAGCCACTGTGGAAAACAGTATGGCAGGTACTCAGCACTCTAAAATTGGAACTATCCTTTGGCTCAGTAATCCTCTTTGCGCCCAAAGGACAAACATTTGCACATCCATATACTACAGCATTATTCATGATAGCTAAAACATGGAATCAACCTAAAGGACCACCTACTGATGAATGGGTAAAGAAAATGTGGCACGTATACACAGTGGAATACTACCCAGCCATAAAGATCAATGAATTCCTGTCATTTGTTACAATGTGAACCTAGACGATATAATGCTAAATGAAATAAGGTAGGCTATGAAAGACAAATGTTGTATGTTCCTGCTTGACCAATACGAATGTTACCATTTTTTAAGTGGAAACCAAAGGACTCAGTTGCATAGAAGCAGAGAAGACTGTTGGAAGATATTAGCTGCATTGGAGTTGGGGGTAGCTGAGGGGAAAACAGTGAACAAGCCCTTTTTTTCTTAGTTCCTTCAGTATAGGTGCACATGTTCTTAGAGTTGTGATATCATTTTAATGAGAATACAATTCTGTCATCTTTGTCTGAGGAACCACTGACAACTCTGAATGGTAGCTGCCACCTGGCTTCATCACTCTGACTCATAGGTCCATCATCAACTTTATCTCCTGCTATATTTGTTGGACTATTGATTTCTCTTTGTCTTAACTACCAGATTGAAATTGCTAATTATATCACTGTTGGCCTTTTGGCTACGATCAAGTGTAGTTAGTATTTCAAAGAATACCACAAAGACAGGGTGATAAAACATGATTACAGGCCAGTGGCAGTTATGGAGAGCAGTCAGCTGAGTGGCACAGTGCGTTCTGTGCTGAAACATGGTCATGGAAATCAAAAGCGAGACTGTGGCAACTTCAGGCTTCCAGTGAAAAACGGGTCTGCAGTTGTTCAAGTTTCATGCCTGAGAATTTGCCTAGGACTATTGAAGTGATTGACGGAGTTCCACAGAGCTGTGATTCGACCTTCTCTAGCGGTAAAGATGAGATACACTAATTACATCGGATGATGTGAAAGTGTCTCATGCACCTGATAATTATACTTTTCCTCAAACGATCATAAAAATTTAACAACACTTAAATTTTCTATAGCATTGAGTGACTAAAACTCTCTTTCTTACAATTTTTTATTTTTCTGTTACAGCGTTCTCCTGTAGAACTAGCCTCTGGCATGCCATTTCTATAATGAGTCAACAAGGTTATGTGGCGACGCCGCCTTATTCTCAGTCCCAGCCTGGAATAGGCCTCACTCCACCTCACTACGGCCACTATGGGGATCCCTCACCCATAGCTTCTCCACCAGGTAAAGTGCCATCTCTCGACTTGTATGTGATTATTCCCTTCTCAGGCTTAGGGACAAAAGATGATGTGAGAGGTGAGCTTGGGAAGCACTGGATGCTTGTCATGGGAGGCAGCGGCTCGTGATTAGAGGATCATCTGGAACAGACCCCTGAGCAGAACCCCACATAACCCATTTGTTATCACATGGAATATAAACTTGTTTGTTAAATATAGACTGAAACAGAGAAGCTTCTCTGAGTGGTTTAGCTTTATTGTTAGACTTCTTTTTATAGTTAATTAGTGGTGTGAGATTATTTTAAACAGTCAATGAAAAATGAATTAACTGATATGTGTACATATACACTAAAGTGATTTGGACAATAAAATCAGTTTTTTTTTTTTTTTGAAGAGGTTTTTGCTATAGGGCGTGTGCACTCGCCAGACAGACAGAGAGAGACAGAGAGACAGAAAGTGAGAAATCCCCTCCCAGGGGGGACGGCCACACCACAATCCCTTCTCCTCCATTCTCTTCTCGGGATCTTGGGCACACACGCACATGCACCCGGCGTGAGTTTAAGCCACTGGGTCCGGGACTCGAACCATGGTCGACTACATGGGAGTCCAGTGACATAGCCATTACGCTTACTGCTGGTACCTAAAATGAGTTTTATTGATAGATATGGTATTACAAAATCAATTTTGAGAGTGTAAAAGTGCTCTTAGATCTGTACAATGATGATTATTCATGTAGAAAAACATTTTTAAAATATTATTCACAGATAATAACAAGAAAAACTTGACCTTGTCTTGAATTCATTATTGAACAGGACTATTTGCTTTAAGATATATACGGGACCCAACAGAGAATCTTGGCTTTTGGAGCCGAGGTCAGGAAAGGGAGTGATGGGATGGGTTGACCACTATTGTTGGCTGCAGGCACCAGCGGGCCACCTCCCTTTATCAAAGTGCTTCTCTAAGGGACCAAGCTTCAGGAGACAGGGGTGAGATGAATAATAGCTTATTTCAGGTCTTATGGTTGCAAGTCTCCAAAAGATACATGGATCAAACAGTTCCTGGGCTCCTACAAGAACGTGGGGGATTTCATCTCAAATTCATGCAACAGATGTATCATATATATGAATGCTGAGTAGGGACAAACCACCAGAGAGAGAGAGAGAGAGACGCTGGAGAAAAATGGGTTAACTGTCCCCACAGGATCCAGGAAGACAAGATTATAAATGTTAAGGGGAAGATTGATCCTGTATATGATTATATATCATATACAGACAGTGGTGATCCACACAGTGAGTAACTCTCAAAGTTCACTGGGACAGGGGACCAGCAGTTCGCATAATGGCTATGTCGCTGGACTCCCACGTAGTTGACCGCGGTTTGCGTCCAGTCTTAAAACTCACACCAGGCACGTGTGCATGCATGCCCAAGATCCCGAGAAGAGAATGGAGAAGGGATTGCGACATGGCCATCCCCCCTGGGGGGTGATTTCTCGCTTTCTGTCTCTCTGTCTCTCTCTGTCTGTCTGGCGAGTGCACACACCCTAGAGCAAAAACCTCTCTAAAAAAAAAGTTCACTGGGATAAGCTTGACGTGAGGGCCTGATGTTAGCAGTCACATACTTTGCAACCAAAGATACTTGAGATGATGAATTTCCTGTAGAACATCACCCTTGTGATTTAATCGTCCCCAATTTATAAAGATTTCCAGATGAAGCATCCTTCTTCTTGTCCAGAACAAATCCTCCCCATAATATTTATGATCTTGTCTTTCTGGACCCTGTAGGAACTGTTAACCCATTTTCTTAAAGTTTCTACCTGGTGGTTCATTCTCTTCCAGTATTGTATGTGATGGTAATTACACATTATTCATTTTGGGGTAGATATCAGGTATCAAAAACAGGTCGCAGGGGCCAGATAGCAGCATAGCAGGTAAATGTGAGGTTCTTCAAGATGATCCACATGGGAAGGTTTTAGATTTGTGTCCAGAACCTCCCTGAGTGTGCCAGGCACACAACCCCATAATTTGAGGCTGGCTGAAGCTGGGGGTGGATCGCAGCACCAGACCCTTCTGGGGATGCTATCTCTCTATCTTTCTTGCTCATGAAAGAAATAAGTGAATAAACTGGTCCTAAAAGCTTTATATATATTTTATCTTATTTAATTATCATATAAAACTATGCAGTAAATTATTAGTCCTCTTTTGCAGCTAAGAAAACCAGATATCTGGCATACTGTAAGTTGTCTGAGTTGACAGAGCTGGTGAGTAGTGAAGCTAGGATTCCTGTCCACATTGCTGAAGAAAGTACACAGCAAGCTCTCACACTTACTTAAGTATAACCCACAGTATAATTTACCCTTCCTTCCTCATCCCCTTAAGAAAGTACTCATTGCTCTCAGTAACTCTCTATCCTTTCCTCCCCTTCCTCTGTGGCTCTCCACAGCTCACACCCCAGCCATCCTTCCCGTCCTCTCATGGTGGTCGTCAGGGGCCCTCCTGTTACTATATACAATGGACACTATCCTGTCCTCTGCAGTTGTTTACAGCTCTCGTTTTCACAAAACTATCTTCTCCTTTGATTCCAATGACACTATTCTTTTGTTGTTCTTCTTGGTTGCTTTCTGCACCTGTCTTTCTAAAGAACCCCGTTCTTCTGCATGACCTGTAAGGTTCCTGTTTCCTCTTCTATGTTCTGTCTTCATCCTTTCTCTCATTTACAGATTCTTCCCTAAGATGTGTCATTGCACATGAGTGCTTGTCTAGCAGATCTATTTCCTAGCCCAGATGTCTTTCCTAAGTTCCTCAGGAAGCCACCTACCTATTTATGTAAGCACATCAAACTTATGTCCAAAACAATTCAGTATTCTTTTGTAGACACGTGTTTTTTTTTGACATCCCGAGTCTCACTCATTAGCATCATTTATTTAGTGATCCACTCCAGAAATGTTCAGTATTTTCACAAAACACACTCCTTTTTAGTTCATCCAGTCCAACTGGTTTCTCAAATCCTTTTGGAGAAATCGTAAATGTCTTTCCTACCTGCTTTGTCCTCCCCATTCTCCTGCCATTCTTCTTGTTCACGCGATCCGTCTCACCTGACTGCTAACATGGCCTTTTAACCAGGGTCCCAGTCTCCAATGCCGCCTTTCCCCAAACGTCCACTCCTGAGTCAGAGGGGTTTTTTATAGCATGCAAGTACAATTTGGACTTTCCTTTGCCCAAATCTTTTTATGGGTTTTCTCATTGCCTCTGTTTATATTTTAAGCTCCTTATATTTTCATTATTTTACTTATTTTCTTTCCTTCTGTTTTTTTTTTTTTTTTTTTTTTAAATTTATTGCCAAAGGCCATTTGTGCTCACCAAAGGGAGACAAAGGTGGCGTTGGGATGGTGGAGAAAGCATTCTCTAATGGGGCACAGTCACACCACAATCCTTCTTCTCTATTTCTCCATCCCACTGGGATTTGGGGCAAGCATGCACATGCACCTGTCATGTTTTTCAGGCTGCTAGAATCTGGGACTCAAACCACATGGTTGGCCATATGAGATTCAGTTCCCTTAACCACTAGGCTGTGGGACCAGCCTCCCATTTCCTTTTAAAAATTCCTCTGCCCATTGCCATTCTCTAGCGATACCGGTTCTTGCTATTTGGAAGCTGGTTGTACTAGGTCTCCGATCAGTACTCTACACTCCCAGAAAACCAACCTGTTCCTCCACATCATCTTAACGAGGTTTATCTTCACACTCCTCCTTCAGACTCAGCGCTCTTGTCATGTTTTCAGGCAGTTCCCGACCTTTAAAGATCTCTGACTGAGAAATGCTGCTTGCAAATGAAAATACAGTCACTGCCAGGAACACCAATTAATTGAATGCGATCCCATATTTTGTTTCTGTTGGACTTACATCCTTCTTGCTCTGTCTTAAGCCACTTCCCCCTTACTCAGTTCTCAGATGGATAACTAGACTATCGTACTCTGTGTAAATAAACCTCCCTGTAAATTGTGGTGTTTCTGTTTACTTAAGGCTATCACTAAATTAGATATCCCACCCTCTGTGCCAAATAACCTCATGTACCTTAATCTTCAGTCATTGTGTTTTTTTCTAATCTTTTGATGATCTTTTTGTTGATTTTCTGAGCAATATAGGGAACCTAGCTATAGTTCCTTAAAGTATTGGCTGTTGAAAAAGTTATGACTTATTTTTCTGGGTTTTTTTTTTAGTGTAAAAAATTTTTTTCTGACAACCAGTATCTATTTTACCATAGACTTGACCAGCATTAATTCTTGCTTTGTGTTTATTGTATACCATATCTCCAGTTATGCCTGTTAATTGTGTTTTCCAGTGCTAACTGTAGGTAGCAGCAAACTGAACAGGTTTATTTATAAGAGCAAAATACTGTGGTGATAAAAGAATCAGTAAAGTAAACCTAATCTCAGTCCTTCTAGAACTTTCTTCTCTGATGGGAAATGCACTAAGCAAGTTGACTTTTACTATTCAGGGCAAGCACCATGATAAAGGAAGTGGAGGGTGGTATGGGAACACCCACGGGGCATCCATCTAAGACTCGGGGAAGGGAATCTTCCTGGAGAGAATGACTTGAAAGATGAGTGAGAGCCAGGTAGGGAGGCAGCTTTCTGGAGTTGGCAAGGTGGCATCTTTGAGGACCTATAAGACATTCAACATGGCTGAGTATAGAGTGTGACCAGAGAGAGGTGCTCCTGGAGTGGAAAGTGGGGCCATGTCAAGGAATTTAAACTTTATTTTAAGAGCAGTAAGGTGTTACAAAAGTGCATTCAGGTGAGAAGGTTCACAATCCCATGTGCATTTAGAAAGCACTACACTGTACATTAGAAAGTGTGGAGAGGGAATCAGGGCTAGGCAGGGTGTTCTCTGGAGCGGGGTTTTTGGTCTCAGGACTGTTGGCACTTGTGGCCAGCAAATTCTTCATCATGAGTAGGTGTATGGTGTGTGTGGGGGGTGCTGCTCATTGTAGGCTATTTAGTGGTGTCTTGCCTTCTGATCACTAGATGCTGGAAGTTCCTCCTTACCCCTTGCTCCTGGAAGCTATGGAACCAAAGATGTCACTGACATTGCCAAATGTCCTCCTAGGGGCAAAACCTTCTCTGGTGGAGAACCACGGGTCTGGAAGCTGAAGAGCAAGAATTGTTAGTTAGAGCCAATCAGGCTGTGTAGATGGTGGTGCGAAGGCACCTGATAAAGAGCAAGTTTGCATAGGTCCAGCACCTGGACTGATGCTCTGAGAATGAGATCCATAGTGACTCTGCCATTCATCTTGGTTGAATTTAGATAATTTTTTTCTCCATCAATCTTTTTTTTTTTTTTTGAAAGGCTTTTGCTATAGGGTGTGTGTACTCACCGGAAAGACGGAGACAGGGAGACGGAAAGCAAGAAATCCCCCCCCAGGAGGGATGGCCACATCACAATCTCTTCTCTTCCATTCTCCTCTCAGGATCTTGGGCATGCATGCACACGTGCCTGGCATGAATTTAAGCCACTGGCTCTGGGACTGCAACCTCAGTCGACTACATGTCCAGCAACTTAGCCATTACGCCAACTGCTGGTCCCATCCGTCAGTGGTTTATAATTTTGGTTTTAGTTGGTCATTTCTGGGGCCAAATTCAAGATACGCTTTTCTGTGATGTTGTTTTGATTAGGGTTTCTTTGCTGATAACTGAATTCCTCCTAGTGGAAAGAGAATCCTTAAGGAGTATCAGGAAGTGGACAGGATACTGCAGAAGGCAGAGAGCCAGATTATATAGTCCACAGGAATCCACATCCCAGATTGGACCATTCCACCACTATCATGGCTTTCCTACTCCAGAAGAACCAGGGTAGGTAGCGTTCCCCAGCACTGGTCACTTTGCTGAATTTAGACACAGGGCGACCCAAATTGCAGGGCAGACCAGGAAATGAAGTTTGCACCTTTCTAGCTTGAGATCATATGAAAGGAAGCCAGACAGGAATCAGAATTGGTGTTGAGTAAGCACATCGCATCTGCCATGCCTTAAAGACCAGTTTGTGATTTTATATTTTTCTTTCAGCACAATAAGCACAGCTAGTTCATTCTCATTGTGTGGTGTTCCTTTCCTTTTATAATTCTCTTACTGCTCTACAAAGAACCTGCTTTTTTGGTGTCTGATCACTTCTGAAAACATCAATAATGTCACTAAAGGGAAGACTATGACTTTGTAGATAACAGTGATATGGACACCCTCTGCCCTGGGGATGGAGTCCAAATGGCACAGAGAACTTTGCATCCTGACCCCAGCCAGTCTGGACAACCTCCACTCTGGCCATGTTCCCCCCACAGAACCTTTTGCCAGTCCCTGGTTATCCGCACACTCCTGTCTTTGTTCAAGCTTTGCTTTCTGACTAGAGTCACTTATCCTGTCTTCAATGCCGAGAAAACTCTTGCCTGTTCTTCAAGATTCAGTTCAAGCAGTCCTTCTTCTTTGGACTTTTGATTACCCCAGGATGAGTTAGGTAATCCCTCAGCATGTTAGAACACTCATGTCATGGCTCTGTAATTATTTATTTGCATGGTTGTCTCTTTCATAAATGCCTGCAAGTCATGTGAAATGTATGTTGAGGAAATTGAGTTTGAAACATTGCTAGCGAGTTGATTTCCAAAACAAAAAGGAGAACACTTCTTAGGAAGATGGGTTTTTAATGTTATTGCTTGTACATGTCAGAATTAATTTTGGATTATCTAAACATATATGAAATAATATGTATATGGAGGATGTTAATAAGAAATCATTGTTTAACTACTTACCTAAAAAGCAAGAGTAACTTTTTAGTTTCTTGTAGTGATGGTAATTATTTAAGTTGAAAACATTTAGTGTTACTATTGAAGGTTTTTCACTTTTGTCTAAAATAATATTTTAAAATTAAAAATAGAAGTATGCATATAATGTGGTATATATGTTTTGTTGAAATATAATTTCTTGAAGCCAGCAGATGTTGTACTGGTTAAGGTGCTAGACTCCACGTGGACTACTGCATTTCGAGGCCTGGACCCTGGAGTCTTGAAACTCTTACCAGGCGCATACACATGTATGCCCCAAATCCCAAGGATGGAGAAGGGATTGTGGCATGACCATCCCCTGTGCAGGCAGTGATTTCTCACTTTCTCTTTGTCTCTTGGGTGAGCACATACACTCCCTATAGCAAAACTCTCTACAAAAAACAAAAGAAAATATATAAATCCTTGAAAAAGGAGGGCAGGTGCTATGACTATGAGGGAGTAAAGAGTATTTTCATGTCCTCTCGTATCCATTGCTTCACTTTTTTTTTTTCTAAAGATTTTTGCTATAGGGTGTGTGTGCTCGCCAGAGAGACAGAGAGACAGAGAGACAGAAAACGAGAAATCCCCTACCGGGGGGATGGCCATGCCACAATCCCTTGTCATCCATTTTTCTCTTGGGATTTTGGGCACTCATGCACACACAATCAGCATGAGTTTTAAGTTGCTGGATCTAGGACTCGAACCATGATTGACTGTGGGAGTCCCAAGACATAACCATTACACTGCTAGTCTCCATTGCTTCATTTTTTTTTAAATTTTTTAAAATTTCTTTCATAAGCAAGAAAGACAAAGAGAGAGACAACTCCTCCCAATTGGGTCTTGATGGTGTGATTCACTCCCCAGCTTCAGCCAGCCCTGGAAGATGGGCAGGTATATTAAGTAAGGTCTTCAGACAGGAACCCGGGACATTAGAATGTCATGTTTTACTGCTGCACCACCTTTGAAGCCCTCCAATGCCTCATTTTATTCTCAGAACAATCCCCGTACATGGGGGACATTATTGCCATGACATAATCTTAAAAGTCAAGGGTCGGAAAGATAAAGTATTTTGTCAATTGTCAATGTACACCCAAGTCTTTGTGACTGCCAGCATCATGTTTTCTAACTTTGCTGGATTTGGGGTTTAGAACTCTCTGTATAAAATAAAATGAAAATAAAATGCATTGAAAATGTTCATATATTGGGACCAGCAGTTGGCATAATGGCTATGTCGCTGGACTCCCATGTAGTCGATTGCGATTTGAGTCCTAGACCTGGTGGCTTAAACTCATGCCGGAAGTGCATGTGTGCGTGCCCAAGATCCCAGGAGAAGAATGGAGGAGAAGGGATTGCAGCATGGCCATCAGCCCTGGGGGGTGATTTCTCACTTTCTATCTCTGTCTCTCTGATGAGTGCATGTGCCCTGTGAAAAAATTGCTAAATCAAACTATGATTTTAGAGTTAATATTTAAAATTTTAAGCTTATGGAATCCTGTTTTAAGAGAAGAAATCTTTGTAAAAGCTTCAGTAATATTCTTCATGGAAACTGCCACCTTAGTGGTTACATGTCATTCTAGACTACGTAAGCATCTGAATCAAAAGTATTATAATGACGATTTGAGCCATTCTTTTTGGGTGACTGCCGGTCATCCAGTTGATCCCCTTACATCTGAGGAAAGACACTTCTGGTGAAAGATAACCAAAGGATGATGATGTAGCAGGACATGTCATGAGAGGGATGAAGTACAAGGCTGGTAGGAGGTCTTCTCTCTGGGTCCTCCTCCCAGAGAGGAGGAGGGTAGAGTCAGTGATTCAGAAGAGCTGGAGCTAAAACAGGATGAAAATACAGAGCAAATAGAATTGTAGCTCTTCTCTTTTTCCCTTTTGAGAAGCTAGAAGGGGTCTCTCAGGTAATCTAGTGTAAGCCCTTCCTTTTGCAGAAGAGGTAACTGAGTTCCTCAAAGATAACTTCTTATCCAGGTCATTCGACTACTAGAGAGTGGCTCAGTGGGGGCTTGAACTACACTAATCCAGACTCAGTGGTATTTCTTCTCTACCACAGTTTGTCTAGAAGAATAGAGAAATATGTCTGAACACAGTCCCAAAGAAAAGAGACACCTCTAAAGATCTCAGAGAAGAGCCGCTTGTCAATGAAAACACAGTTGTTTCCGGGAGCTGCAGTGACTTGTGTGTGAGCCTCTAGTTCGTGTGACTGAGTTTGATGACTTGAGTGGTCCCTGCACTGGGTCATCACCTTATTATTGAGGGTCCTGGAAAAACTATTAAACTCTGAAAGATGCGCTCAGTATCTTCGGTGTGAAAGACCCTACTCTTCACTTATTTCCCTCAGGCTGATAATGCAGAGG